CTCCTCCCCTTTATTTTCTTTTCCTTCCCTTCCCTTCCTCCTTCTTCTCCCCTTCCCTTCCTCCTTTCCTCTCCTTCTTTGTATTATTTATATTTCATACTTCTTAAGACCCATTTGGAAAGAAAGGCCGTCTCTTTAAGAATTTTTTACAATTTGGAATATATGGTACAAATGGTTGTATAAAAAGGAAGTAAAGATGTCTAGTGAAACTGATTAAACAAACAACAAGGGAAAATGGAAATAAGGATAAATGTATATATGGCTATGCGTATATGTAAAGTAATATAATTAAATAAATATTGTATTATAATTGTAATGATAACATAACAAAAAGTAAGGATTTAAGAAATAAGTTATAGATTCACTTGTAACAAATGACTTTAATTGACACGAATAGAAATGTACACTACTATGAAAACATTGCAAAAATGTGAGAACATGTTTCTCTTTTTTTAAAATATATTCTTTTTTTGTTTGAAACTTTCAATAAACATTATTAAAAAAAAGAATGAAAGGAATTTTTGCATATTTAAAGGCTATACATTGTTCCCTTTTTAGTGATATACTATATTTTCACATTGACTTTTATCCCCTGTAAACTTAAAACACTGTCCTCAAATAAGTACAATTAAGTAAATTCAGCTAAGGGACAAAACGTAGATTAATCCAAAAAAGTCATGCCTCATCTTCAGCTGAAGGCAAAGGCATATTTGGAGAAACTCCAGCCCTAGAAGAAAGTTTTGAGATGCTCTGTATCTTTTCTTTAAATAGTGATTTTATTAAAGATTGTCATTACAACATCAAAAACTAATATAAACTGAAAGAGATAAAAGAATAAATGAAAGATTGGAAGTGGCCGGAAAAAAAAAAGAGAGAAACGGAAAGCGCACACACACACACAGAGACACACACAATTTCCTAATTTCATCGCAAATATAAACAATCTCAGTAGCTTATTACTTCTTCTTAAATTACAGGAAATGACTTTTTCTTTTTCCCATATTTCTTATCTACAAACAAATCACTAAAGACTTGTCATTTCAGTCCTGGTGCCCGCAAAAATCCATTGACGATGACCAGAAATCATCATATTTATTTTATTTAAAAGATTTATACAGACACTCATAACAAATCCTGGGCAGCTCTAATCAAAAATTAAAACAAATGTATAAACCATATTAAAACTCTAATAACCCAATGATTTAAAAATGGAGCAAAAAAAAAAAAACCTGATGCCAAGTCAAACTTCAGATGTGTTGAAGCCTCATCTTATCCCAGCACTGGAGGAAAAAAGTAAATGCTTTTAAGGAGTTGGACTTGAGTCAGATTAACAGTTGGAAGGGACCTTGTAGGTCAACTAGTCCAACCTCTCCTCCAAAGTAGGAGACCCTACGCCATTTCTGACTGATGGCAGGCCAGTCTCTTCTTGAAAGCCTCCAGTGATGAAGCTCCTACAACTTCCAAAGGCAACTTCTGTTCCATTGGTTGATTGTTCTCACTGTCAGAAAAGTTCTCCTTATTTCCGGGTTGAATCTCTCCTTGACCAGTTATCAACCATTATTCCTTGTCTGGCCTTCAGGTGCTTTGGAGAATAGCTTGACCCTTTTCTCTCTGTGGCAGCCCTTCAAATATTGGAAAACTGCTATCATGTCTCCCCTGGTCCTTCTCTTCACTGGACTAGCCAAGCCCATTTCCTGCAATCGTTCATCGTATGTTTTAGTCTCCGCTCCCTGATTATCCTGGTTGCTCTTCTCTGCACTCTTTCTAGAGCATCGACATTTTTTTTTAATCGTGTGGTGACCAAAACTGGATTCAATATTCTAGGTGTGGTTTTACTAAGTCATAGCAATTGGACTTCTTTTCTTTTTTGGTTTGAAACATTTCACTGCTTCCCTGTCCAAAATGTAAACATTATGGTCCTTTTTCTTTTAAGGGAACATATAATGCCTGATTCTAGTCCTGTGGTGTTGCTTCTTCTGTCCTGGGCCATCCTCTTAGAATAGAATAGAGCTGGAAGGAACCTGGAAGGTCTTCTAGTCCAGCCCCCTGCTCTGGCAGGAGACATTTCAGACAAGTGGCTGTCCAATCTCTTCTTAAAAAGCCTCCAGTGATGGAGCCCCCACAACTTCTGAAGGCAAAGCTGTCCCACTGGTTAATTGTCCTCCCTGTTAGGGAGTTTCTCCTTAATTCCAGGTTGCTTCTCTCCTTAGTTAGTTTCCATCCGTGGTTTCTTATCTCGTCCTCTGGTGCTGTGGAGAATAATTTGACCCACTCTTCTTTGTGGCAGCCCCTCAAATATTGGAATACTGCTATCATGCCATCCCCTAACCCAAGGGTTTTCAAACTTGGCAAGTTAAAGACTTGTGAACGCCCAGAATTCCTGAGCTAACATGACTGGAGGAGAAAGTTGAAGTCCACAAGTCTAAAAACTGTCAAGTTTTGAAGACCCCTGATCCTTCTTTTCTCCAGACTAGCCAAACCCAAATCCTGCAAAGGCTTCTTGGTTTCTCCAATCTAGATTTCTGAACACTGCTCACTGCACTGGACTGCATACAATTACATTACTCTTCATACGTTTTGGTGCATGATCTTTAGGGTGGACAAGCCTTTGTCTCAGTGCATTGGTGGGTTTAAAGAATACCAGTTCACGGTGTTTTCCAAATATGGGTTCTTGGTGTTTTTCTGAGGCTGGCATTTTTCCTGCAATGGTTTCATTTCTTTCTTCTGTGACATTAGAGCCCTGGTCTCCAGGCCTGAACTGCAACTCAAGAGAGTTTTTTTTTATTTTTAAAATTATCACCTTGAATCTTGCATAATGGACAGTGAGGTCTCATCTTTGAGTGCATTTGCAGGGATGGTTAATTTTAATCTGATGATCAAGAGGTGGAGCTCTTGCCTCGCAATCAGGAGGCTGTGAGTTCGATCCTAGGTAGAGGCAGGTATTTCTCTCTCTGGGCACAATGAGACTGTATCTCCTGAACAAAACTCCACACTGGTGATAAGAAGGGCATCCAGCCAGTAAACACTCAGCTCGATTCAACTGCCCAGACTCCACCCCGCAAGGAATTATGGGGTCATTAAAAGGACATGATGATCAAGATGGGATGAAGAATGGACTATAACATGAGTTTACCATAACAAGCTAAAGCCTCCTTAGATAAGTAGGGTTTCTTTGGGCTTTTTTGGAACCTCTTCCTTTTGTTTCTTAATGTATTTTTCCCCCTTTCAGGCAAGGAAACTACTTAAAAAAAGAGGTGTGGCAGCATACATTGCTTTTTTTTATATAAGCAGAGTCTATAATGAGAAAAAAGAATGGTTGATGACTAACAGTTCCCACCTGGTTCTTTTTTTTTAGTAGTCAAATGCAAATTGTATTGCTCAACTTGAGACCTTCTCAAGTTGAAATTCTCAAAGAGAAGTTCTCTTTTTGCAGCAGGTGGTCCCAACTCTTTTGGTCCATCAGAAGCAAGCACAAAATGGCATCCAGGAAGTCTGTGGTTTACACAAACCACAGCACAAAATGGCGTCCAGGAAGTCGGGGGTCTTCTCCTATCTTGTCTAACCCGGGAGGGGGGTCAAACTCTAGGCCTGGGGGGACCACCCTGGAAACAGCAAATGACTGGCCCGCAGAGTCTCTGCCAGCAAAAATGAAGCTCGGGAGGGCCGTATGTGGCATTCCCAAGCTCAGTTTTCACAGGCAAAGGGTTGCCGGAGGCTGTCGCAGGGGAAACGGAGCTCGGGAGCCCGTTTTCGCTGGCAGAGTGCTCAAGCCACCACCGGTGCCCCCGCCCCTCAAATGAGTGACATCGAACTGACCATGCCCACCCTGGCCTCTCGAGGTCAAACACAACTCTGATGTGGCCCTCTATGAAATCAGGTTTGACATCCCTGGTCTAAACCAGGGGTCGCCAACCTTTTGGACCTCAGGGTCCACCAAACTCATCGTTTTAAATCCTGCGGACCAGAGACTCTGGGAAAATCCCCCAAAAAGTCTGCAGGAAAATTCCCCACCCTGTTTTCCTACCGATCGATCATTCTTTATGTGGGATTAAAGGATATCATTTCCAGCTCCGTTCTCAGACGGAAAGAGAAAGAGAAACTTCTGCCTTCATGCAAGGAAAGCAGCAGGAGGAGCAGAAGTCTTTCTTCCTCTCCCCCAAACTCCACCAGAAATGAGTCATTGTGAGACTTATCGTGCTGGTGCAGCCTCTTGGAGCAGGAGGCCTTGCAGGATCCCAAAGACTCATTTCTGGCAGAGTTTGGAATAGAGAAAGAAAGACTTTTGCTGCTTTCCTTGCATGTAGTCAAAAGCAAAAGAAGAAAGAAGTGGAAAGAAGCATTGTTTTGGGGGTGACATTTCTCTGCAGAGCACTAAAATTTTCTCGCAGACCACCAGTGGTCCCCAGCCCACTGGTTGGCGACCACTATTCTAAACCGAGGATGTGTTCTGACCAAGGCTTCCTGAGGCCATAATTAAACACACGCTTATTCCAAAACAACTCTCTTTTTATTTCAATAGCTGGGAATTATATTCGTTCCGAGCCCATAATGAGTCCCAAACAGTGTCTCGAGATAAGCACCCACCTTTATTTCCTTTGAGTTGCTGCCAAGAACTAAAGTGCTAAATTAACTGTAAAAAGCCAAACGGAATACAAAGTCCACACAGAGTTTCAAGGTTTAATCCGAAGAGAGCAAACAAAGTTGCTTCCTGCAAAGGTTCCTGTCCCTTTGCTCCTCCTTTATGCCTTATGGGAGGGCCAATCACTTCCCAGCCTTAATCCCAAGTTGCCCCCTTTGTCTTAACTGTTCTTGCCTTCTGGCAGCTCTGCGCACATGCACACTGGGAACAGGCTCCCTTTGTTCCTCTGCCTCACTGTTGTCAGATTCTGGAGGCTCCAGAGTCAGCACATAACTCCCAGATGGTCCTGGCCCCATCTCTGCATCGGATGCAGGACCCTCATCCAAGTCCTCCCCAGACTCCCAGACTGGCCCATGTTCCTCCCCACTGTCCAATTCTGCTGTCGTCTCCACAGGTTCTGGCAGACCACAACAGGATGTCTCCCATTTCAGAACAGTCAAAGTAAGCTGTGGTTTTCAACTTCCTATCTCTCGTTTCTATTTTGCAAGAAAACTCGAGAGACTCACAAGAGAAAACCTGCTGAAAAAAATGTTGCCCACCTGCCTGCCTTTTTTCCATTTATTTACTTGTAGATTAAAGGCGAGGCAGGAATCCTGGCCATCCTTAAGCAAGAAGGGACCATTGTCTTATGGTGCCATCTCATGGCTCAGTATATTATTGCTGCAAGAATGCAGAGTCCTGATTTTTTCTTGACTTGGAGAAGTTGAAACACCTAATCTATACCAGTGGTTGTCAACCAGCGGGCCAGGAACCACTGGTGGCCCACGAGAAAATTTTGGTGGTCTGCAGAGAAATGTCACCCCCAAAGCAATGCTTCTTTCCACTTCTTTCTTCTTCTGCTTTTGGCTGCATGCAAGGAAAGCAGCAAAAGTCTTTCTTCCTCTCTCCCAAACTCTGCCAGAAATGAGTCTTTGGGACCCTGCAACGCATCCTGCTCCAAGAAGCTGTGCCGGCGTGACAAGTCTCACAAAGCCTCATTTCTGGTGGAGTTTGGGGGAGAGAAAGAAAGACTTCTGCTGCTTTCCTTGCATGAAGCCAAAAGTCTCTCTTTCTCTTTCCCCAAGAATGGAGCTGGAGATGGTATCTTGTGATCCCAAATAAAGAATGATCGATCGGTAGGAAAACAGGGTGGGAAATTTTCCTGCAGACTTTTTGGGGTTTTTTTCCCAGGTTGTCTGGTCTGCAGGATTTAAAATTATGAGTTTGGTGGACCCTGAGGTCCAAAAGGTAGGCGACCCCTGATCTATACAATGGATGAAGACATTTTCTACCTCCAGAGGGAGGGAGGTCGCCCACTGAAACAGGATTAGAATAATTGGCAACTACCTTTGGTAATAAGTCTTTTCATCTAAAGAACAGTGTTGAAGACCTGAACAATTTCAACAATAAACCAGATCTGACATGGACTTAGCAAGTTGTTATATTTATTCTTCCACTGAATCCACGCTCCAGTGATCTATTTCCAAATGGAAGGAAAAATAATGGATGTGGGGATAGATAATTCTTTTATGGGCATGGCAAAGGTGTCAAGAGTCTCCAAACCTGGACAACTTTTAAGAATTGTGGGCTTCAACAGCCAAAATTCCTCTGCCAGCCAGCCAGCCATCCTAGCTGGGGGGATTCTGGGAGTTGACGTACACAAGCCTTAAAAGTTTTGAAGCTGGAGACCTTAGTCTTAAATGATGAATATGCTACACATTTCATGCCACGTAAATTTCAACTTCAATATGTGTGCGAAGTGATTTTACAATGAAGAAAGAAGAGAAAATAAACAGCTTTGTGGATAAAGAAGAAGGTGAGCGGCTCACTGTTAAGGTGTAACAGATCTCACCTGAGGAAGCCGACAATGTGATGGATGATCCCGAATAGTTCATAGTTGCAGCACCCATTGTGACCGTGTTCGGTTGATTGTTTGCAGTGTCAGACCGCTGAGTCAGAGCCAACATAGTTGTGCTGTAAGAAAAGGAAAACATTATGACTAGAAAGCAACGGCCTAAGTGTTTTTTTCTGCTGCTTGATACATTGGGCTTTCTTGTCTGCTGTGGAAAACAGAATTGTCTCTCTTCTTGTCAAGGGATAAGAAGATAATTTACTATAGCATTTTTTTGTTCCAAATGAGTGGTGCAGTATGCCTAGAGGTGGAGCTCTCGCCTCACGATCAGGAGGAGGCTGTCAGTTCGATCCTAGGTAGAGGCAGATATTTCACTCTCTCTGGGCACGATGAGAATATATCTCCTGGAAAAAAAAACAAAAACTCCACAGTGGTGACAGGAAGGGCATCTGGCCAGTAAACACTCAGCTCCATTCAGTTGCCCAGATCACCCAGCAAGGGATTATGGAGTCATGAAAAGAGGATGCTTTTCTTTGTTCCAAACCAGAATTAAGTTAGTTGGTCATTCTGCACGGTTTAAATGCATCCCCTTTGTGGTTCCCTTTAAAATCCAATTTAAAAATGTTTGTCCTGGTGATTATTAACAGAACCACCTCAGAACAGACTATAGGTTTCAGAAACATGCCATCAGCCAGTTAGTTACTGATGACGTTACCTAGTTTGGTAATGAAAGGTCTGCAAGAAAACTACCAAGCACCAAGAATCCCAGAGTTAGTTACTGTGAGATTTACACTCCAGATTTGTAGCACAGATTATGCCCAAAGGTATTGATAAAACTTAAGCAGAATTGGGGCAGTGGGATAAGGAGGCAATATAAAGACAGTAAAGACATCAAAAGAGCTTCTTCAAAATAATGAACTGCTGGGCAGCTCTAGGATTAATAAAGAACAATATTTGTAGCTCAGGATTGAAATGAGGGACCCTTGAGGTAGTCTGAGCTTGGTGGTTTTCTTGCAAACGTTTCATAACCCAACTACATAACATTATCAGTGCTACGGTCTAGCACTGGTGACGTTACCGAGTTTGGATAATGAAATGTCTGCAAGTAAACTCTCAAGCACCAAGAACAGAGGTGGTCTTCAGCTGGTTCTGATCAGTTCTGGAGAACCGGTAGCGGAAATTCTGAGTAGTTTGGAGAACCGGCAATTACTAACTCTGACTGGACCCGCCCCCATCTATTCTCCACCTCCCGAGTCCCCTTCCTCTAGTTATTAATCTGCACTTTTAAAAAATGTTATGATAGATGGATAGATGGATGGATGGATAGATACAGAGGTGGTCTTCAGCCAGTTCTGAGAGGTTCTGGAGAATCGGTAGAGGAAATTTTGAGTAGTTCAGAGAACCAGCAAATCCCACCTCTGACTGGCCCCGCCCCCATCTATTCTCTGCCTCCCATTGAGTCCCAGCTGATTGGCTGGGTCTTCTTTGGTTGCCCCGCACAAGAGAACGGAGCTGGAAAGCAGGTTAGTGGGGTGGGGAGGGAAGGGGGATTTTGCAGTAATCTTCCCCCAGGAGTTGGGAGGGAATGGGGATTTTGCAATATCCTTCCCCTGCCATGCCCACCAAGCCACGCCCACAGAACCGGTAGTAAAAAAAAATTGAATCCCACCCCTGACCAAGAACCCCCAAGTTAGTTACAATGAGATTCGCACTCCAGCTTTGCAGCACAGGTTATGCTCACAGTGATTAATAAAGCAGAACTGAGCCAGTGGGATAAAGATATTGCCAATATAAAGGGATACTGCCAATATAAATAAACTAAAGATAGCAAAAGGGTTTCTTCACCACTTTATCAAAATAATGAAGTGTTGGGCAGCTCTCGGATTAATAAATGAGAATATTTGAAGCTCAGGGTTGAAATGAGGAGTCCTTGGGGCTCTCCGAGCTTGGCTGTTTTCCTGCAGACGTTTCATCACCCAACTAGGTAACATCATCAGTGCTTGTGACTAATGCTGGACTAGCACTGGTGATGTTACCTAGATTGAATAAGGAAACGTCTGCAAGAAAGAAAAAAAACCAAGTTAAGCAAGCATGGAGGATCCCTTCAGCTCTTTAGGTCTCCTCAGAAAGTGCCAACAGCTGTCCTGAAGAGAAAGAGGCAGGGTCTCCTCACCCTTGTGCCATTCTCTGAGGATCTACTGGCAATGCAGGGGCTGCGAGAGGGCATTTCTTAGTGTTTTTCACCATCAGTTTTTCCATTTTTCTCCACTTTGCTCGGCGATTCTGGAACCAGACCTAAGCGGGGAGAAAAAAAAGGAAAGTCTTTAGTCAAAGAAACTTTTTGGACAGACAGGAGGATCCCTTAATCCAACCTTCTATGTTGGCTGGGAATTTGCACAGGTGGTCCTCGACTTACAACAATTCATTCAGTGACCATTCAAAGTTACACTGGCACTGAAAAATGTGACTTGTGACACAGCTGTCAAGTGAATCTGGCTTCCCCAATTTGACTTTGCTTGGGAGAAGGTTGCAAAAGGGGATCAGATGACCGTGGGATAGTACAACCGTCATAAATATGAGCCTAGTTGCCAAGCATCTGGATTTTGATCATGTGACTCAGTGGTGAGATTCAGATTTTTTTTACTACCGGTTCTGTGGGTGTGGCTTGGTGGGCGTGGCAGGGGAAGGGTATTGTAAAATCTCCAGTCAAAGTTTCTGCTACCGGTTCTCCAGAACTGGTCAGAACCTGCTGAATACCACCTGTGACGTGACTGTAGGGAAGCCTCAATGGTTGTAAGTGGGGGAACAAAAGGGTCATAATGCACTTTTTCCGTGCCGTTGCAACTTTGAACGGTCCGTAAATGAATCGTTGTAAGTTGTGGACTACCTCCTCTAACTTTGGGTATCTCTAAGAACGTGAGACAAGATCCTTGCTTCATGAAGAGCAATAGCACTTAGACTTAAATACCTCTTCACAGTGCTTTTACAGCCCTCTCAGCACATTGCCCCCAACAATCTGGGTCCTCATTTTGCCCACCTCGGAAGGATGGAAGGTTGAGTCAACCTTGAGCCTGGTGGGATTTGAACAGCCGATAGTCAGCAGAAGTGGCCTGCAGTACAGCACTCTAACCACTGCACCACAGAGGCTCTTAATTAATGAATTAAGTTAATTAATGATTAACTCTGGATTCTTATCCAGAAATATTGGATGCAACATTTCTGGATGACAATGTTTTATCTTTCTGCTGTTCAGCGGGTCTCAACTCACCATAATGCGCTGGGGTGTCACACCAATCGAAGCCGCAATTTCTCGGCGCTTTTCGTTGTCAGGATAATGGTCATCTTGGAATGTTTTCTCCAGTTCCTGTAGCTGTTCTGGAAATGACATCAATCAATTAGCAACATAATGGGAGAAAGCAACCAGGAAGAGAAACATTAGGGAATCACCCGAGCTTCAAAAGGATGTGTGTTAATATTCATTGACTTTAACACACACACACACACGCACACACACTTTACCAAGAGAGTCACATTTTTCTTTCCCTTTATGACCCATGGCTCAAGCACCTCACAATGAGGAATAGCTGAAGCTGGCAAGAGAGCAGCTCTTGGAAAGATAATCTCGATAAAGGAATAATGTAAGAGTTAAGATGCTGGATTTGTCAGTGGAAAGCCAGCAGCTCAGGTTTGAGACCCAAACGCCACATGAGCAGGGTGAGCTCCCATCCTCACCTCAACTCCTGCCAACCTCATAGTTCGAAAGCATGAAAATGTGAGTAGATAAATAGGTACCACTTCAGTGGGAAGTTAACAGCTCTCTGAGGTCATGTTGGCCTCATGACCACAGAAATGTCTTCGCGCAGCACTGACACAATGGCGTTGTGTGGAGGTGAGCACCGCCCTTGTAGTTGGCAACAACTTATGGAGTAAAATCCGGAGGGAGTTTTTTTTATTAAAAGAATTGTTAAGGGAAAGTAAACAACTCCTGGGAAAGAGGAAGGTGTGAGGGGAAAAAAAGAAACCACCTAAGGAATTCTGGGAGTTGAAGTCCACAAGTCTTAAAGTTGCCAAGTTTGGAGACTCCTGCCTACAACTATAAAGTAGCGTTTCTGAAATGCTAGAGGGGCCTGTTTCCTGACCTGCCTACTTTAAAGACCTGAGAGAAGAGAACTTTCCAGATTCTTTAAATAGAACCATTTTACTGGCCACCTGGGTGGAGATTTGGGTGGCCCGGACTGATTGCTGGTTTCTCCAAGCTACAAGGTCAAGGCTGGGCTGGGAAGAAATCATTTTGCAAAGGAATCTGGGTAATGAATCAGTTTTGCAACCAAAATAAATTCAAGCAGTTTGACAGGGTTGCTAATGGGATTGAGGAGACAAACCCTACTTCCAATTCCAAGCTCTCATCTGCTCTCCAAAGTCCATATACACATCTAGAAATTAGAAGAAACTACAAAATGCCCCAGGAAACCAGGGGACAGTGGCTTTCTTCCAAGATGTTCTGGTTAAATGGGAGACTAAAGGTCACCCTCAACTTACAACAGTTCATTTAGTGACCAAAGTTAAAACAGCACTGGGAATAAAAGTGACTTATGACCGTTTTCCACACTTACGACCATTGCATGGTCATGTGATCAAAATTCAGACGCTTGGCAACTGACTCGTATTTACGACCGTTGCTGCGTCCTAGAATCACGGGTGATCCCCTTTTTGTGACCTTCTGGCAAAGCAAGAGTCGATGGGGAAGCCAGATTGACTTCACAGCCTTGTTACTAATTTACCAATGGCAGGGATTCATTTAATAACGGTGGCAAGAAAGGTCATAAAACGGAACAAAATGCAGCAAAGCAAATGTCTCCCTTGGCAACAGAAATTTTGGGGCTCCACTGCGGTTGTAAGTCGAGGACCTGCCTGCAGTACCAAATTATACAATTCAGTCAGTGGTGGGATTCAAATTTTTTTACTACTGGTTCTGTGGGCGTGGCTTGATGGGCGTGGCAGGGGAAGGATACTGCAAAATCCCCCTTCCCTTCCCTCCCCACCCCACTAACCTGCTTTCCAGCTCCGTCCTCCTGTGCAGGGCAACCAAAGAAGACCCAGCCAATCAGCTGGGACTCAATGGGAGGCGGAGAAGAGATGGGGGAGGGGCCGGTCAGGGGTGGGATTTGCCGGTTCTCTGAACTACTCAAAATTTCCACTACCGGTTCTCAGAACTGGTCAGAACCAGTTGAATCCCACCTCTGAAACTAGTCATGGTTAATGCCTCGTAACTTACTTTCGTTGTAGAAAGTTCGTGTTTTCTTTTGAGCAGGTGGAGCGGATTCTTTGGAGATTTTTAGCGAACCGGAATCTCGTTTCTGAATTCCATCTACGTTGCCTTTGGACATCAGAACCGAATAGAACCTGAAAGACGGCTGGCCCACGTTATTGGCTGTCGCACCTCTGGCCGACCTGCGTGTGAGATGGCCCAAGTTGAGATACTGGTCGATGTCTGGATTTTGTTCGTTGTCCAGCCCGACACAAGGAGCACCTCCCCTTTCAAGGCCCTTCTTGGCTTTCTTTTTGGCGATCTCCTTTTCCATCACGTCCCAGCTGCCCAAGTCTACTTTTTCTTCTGATTTTGAAGGAAGGACAAGTTGTTGGTTGTGTTCACTTTCAAAAAACGGAGGGTCAACGTTCATGTCACCGTAGCAGGCTGTTGGGTTGGGAGGTTGGTAGAAAATGAGTGAGTGAGCATCTAAAGATGTCAGCTGTGTGAGATGAGATTCTGGCCTGGGGTCTAGATAATACTCTCCATCAACTTCCTCTTCCTCCTTGGAAACTTCAGGGTTCCCTTCTTTTGTCAGGATCTTTCCAGGTGGATCACCAAGGATCACAATAGGATCCATGGAGCAAAGACTGCTCTGAGCGCCAACCTCATTCATCAGGTTTTCATTTGGAACCAATTGTTCTGTGCACAGAAGTGATTCTCTCACTCTGTTCTCTTCTGCCTCCTCAAATTCGGCCTTGTACACTAATAATAATAAAAGAAAGGTGCCCATGTTATCATTAATACCAGAAAAACGAAACCAACCAACCAACCAACCAAAAAAGTTTTCGATTTTAAAATTCTAAAAGTGGAAAGTGGTAGCAGAAGAAGACAGAAGGCCAGGTGAATTAACCCAGTTGCATGGACTGAGATTGGGAGTTTGACTGGGGAGTGCGATTTATGGATTTCCACCACAGGTTCCTTCCCTGCTGTGAAAGGTCAAAATAATCTCAAGTGATTATATTCAAGGCATGTTGCGATTTGTCCTGAGATGCAGCCAAAATCAAGCCATCTCCTTCTCAGAAACCCGAGCTCTGAGTGAAATATTCAATGGTGAAATTGCAAAAAGCATCGTCTTTTTAAAAAAAAACACCTAACAAACAAACTTTAGAGTCAGAACAGAAATTGAATAGCAATAGCACTTAGACTTATATACCGTCCCATAGTGGTTTATAGCGCTCTCTGGGAAGTTTACAACGTCAGCATATTGCTCCCAGCAATCTGGGTCCTCATTTTACCAACCTCAGAAGGATGGAAAGCTGAGTCAACCTTGAGCTGGTCGAGATCAAACTCTTGGCTGTGGGCAGAGTTAACCTGCAATGCTGCATCCTAACCACTGAGCATAATAAATTAAACCTGGATTCCCAGGAGAGAGGGGCTACATTCCAGAGGAATAAGAGACAGCAAAGTTTAAATAGTTTGGTTATGAGGAAGAGAGTCAAGACAGCTACTCCCTATGTCAGGGCTCTGGTAGTTACCCCCATTTAAATCACAGATCTCTAGCTGAATTTTCAAAATTTAAGGAAGATTTATTAAGAGTAAACATGCCGGCGCTGCCTGGGTGTAGCCAACTCTGAGACACATCATTCATTGTCCCCCTTGACCCTGGTTTTCCCCCCACCCCCTGGGTGTATTATAATTCATATCCTCCAATGGGACACATCCATAGCCAAGAATCCTCAATCATGCTTAGAATTTTGCACGGCAGAAACATCGGTCACCTAGAAACTATCTTTGAAAACATTTATGGAATGCAAGCTGCCCACTGCTCCCCCCTCCCTTTCTGATGGCACCTCTAAAAAGACCATAGAAATATTTTATGAGTTGACACCCTAGTTGTTCTCAGAGTTTTACTTTGATGATGCAAATCATGGGTGGCCTGCTATGGGTTCGTATGGGTTTAGCTAAGATTCTGCATAGTTCGGCGAACCAGCAAATCCCACCCCTGGCTGGCCCCGCCCACCCCATCCTGCCCTCCCAGGAGTCTCCACATGGCCCATTTTGGATGCCAGGTAAGTACAAGGCCCACACGGAGCCCCGGGGAGGGTGAAAAACGGGCCTCCCAGAGGCTCCAGAAATTTTGAACTTCCTTAAGGCAGCGGGAACTCTAAAGCTCTTCCAAAGAGGGAAAAGGGCAACCCATGATCCTCTGGGCAATGATGTTGACCCTCTGGAGTGCTTTCCTATCTGCCCCTGTGCAATTGGCAAACCAGACATAGGTGCAGTAAGTTAAGATACTCTCTATGGTGCAGCGGGTAGAAGGTCACCAGCAGTTTTCCATGTAGTTGTTGTTTCCTGAGAAGCCTCAGGTTGTATAATCTCTGCTTGGCCCTTTTGACCAGGGCTGCAATGTGAGCACCCCAGGTCAGTCCTTTTTTAGGGTAACACCACAAACTTAAAACTGGCCACTTGCTCTACTCAGTCTCCATTGATAAGCAAGGGTTGGATGTCTGATCTGTTCCTTCTATAGTCCACTATAAGCTCCTTGGTCTTATTGGTGTTGAGTACCAAGTTATTGTCTCCACACCACAAAAGCAATCCGTCCACCTCAGTCTTAAATCATCAATATTATGTGAAATAATTTTTAAAAAGCTTTACTTGTGGGACATGTGGGGCCCACACTAACTCTTAGAAACAGAAAGATGTTAGCTCAGCATTAATCTGTAAACTGAATGCCTGCTTCTAACGCCTTCCTTGAAGGGTACATCAACCAGGGGCTAATGTAATGATTTACAGACAGCCCACCTATGAAACCTATGAATTTCACTCTCACCTGCTAAACTGCCCCATTCCATCGTAACATTTTTTGTTTTTTGGCTGGTTTACTGTTTTTCAATAGGTGGGACAAGATGGGGGGGGCATGGTCAGAAAAGTCAAGATGGCTGCTTGGGCCCATATGACTGAGGCTCCACCCTTTTTATGTGCATTGGCACAGAGTCTTGGTGGCACAGTGGTTAGAGTGCTGTACTGCAAGCCACTTCTGTTGACTTATCAGCTGCCTGCAACTTGGCAGTTCAAATCCCACCAGGTTCAGGGTTGACTCAGCCTTCCATCCTTCCAAGGTGGGTAAAAAATGAGAACCCAGATTGCTGGGGGCAAGAGGCTGACTCTGTAAACCGCTTAGAGAGGCCTGTAAAGCACCGTGAAGCGGTATATAATTCTGCTACTGCCCTTCCTTCCTTCCTTCCTTCCTTCCTTCCTTCCTTCCTTCTTCCTTTCTCATTCTCCTTCCTGGTGGTGCAGTGAGTATTGCAGGATACTCTGCCCACTGCCAGGATCCTGACCAGCTCAAGGTTGACTCAGCCTTCCATCCTTCCGAGGTGGGTAAAAAATGGAACCCAGACTGTTGGGGGCAATAGGCTGACTCTGTAAAACCTCTTACAGAGGGGCTGTAAAGCACTATCAAGCAGTATATAAGTCTAAGGGTTATTGCTATTGCTTATAGGTGTCACTTGTAAAGCAGGAATGGGAGCTTGGGCTATCTGGATGCAGCTCTCCTGTTGACATTTTTAAAAAAATGGGGTCAAATGCACATTGTCCACCATCACATTCTTGGAGAGACACCCTTAAGGGGTCAAATGCACATTGTCCACCATCACATTCTTGGAGAGACACCCTTAAGCTTGAAACCATGGTTTGCAGGACTCCAAATGTCAGAGGCCTGTGCTTCCTTGAAAGAAGGGAAATTTGCAGAAGGACCTAAGCAACTCAAGGGGAAAAACTGAGAAAATGCAACTTTAGGGAACTCATGTCACAGAAAGCTTGATACATTTGACTACATTTTTTTTCCTGGCCAGCCAACTGGATGAGAACCCAGATTGTTAGGGGACTCTGCAAACAGCTTAAAAAGCACCGTAAAACACCGTGAAGCAGTATATGTAAGTCTTAAGTGCTATTCAACCCTTTCTATAACGCGCACCCCTTAAAATGCTTCTTCTTCTTCTTTTATTAGTTCATCTTATATTTCCAGTTTTCCTTTCACAGCATACATATTTTGTGGACGGCGCATTGACTGGGTCAATGCCCTTTTTAAGCAATGCTAACAATGATAATACAAATAAGTATATATCATCCTAATCTTCCAACTCTGACAATACCATTCTCTCTTTATAATCCTTATTTTTTTTCCATTCATTCATTTAAACATAAATAACATTTCTTTTCACCATATATTTATTATCCCCTATTACAGAGGTCTTCAAACTTGGCAACTTTAAGACTTGTGGACTTCTGGGAATGTTAAAGTTGCCAAGTCTGGGGACCCCTGTCCTATTAAGCCACTTATATTTAATATTTTAAAAATTACTCATTTTTTCCCCATCATACTTCAATCTCCCAAACATAACAAAATTCAGTCAATCCAGGGATTATATCTCAAAATCCCCACAATTCCCCCCCAGAACACTTCTGATGTATTCTTGCACCCTTTAAAAAAATAATTATATGCCCATTGTTGCACATTATCATTATATAAATATACACTATCGTTTTGAAACTTCTAAACCCAAGTTTTTGCACCCCCTGGAATATTGTCTCGCACTCCCCCAAGGGTTGGGATCCCGTTCTGGTTTATTCCCTTGAAAAGAAATGAAAAGCTTTGGTTCTTGCAACTTAGGATATCCAAGGTTCCTTTTCCCAGAACTGAGGCTTCCTGCATCACACTTAAACTGTGGCTGGGCTTAATCCCAAACAAGCCACGATGCATTTTGGTCCGGGAGTCCTTTCAGGTTATGCTTGCAATTTCATTCTTCACGAAGGAAGGCACAGGGAGAGGGTTCCCACAAGGCAGGAAAACCCACCCCACCCCAAGGCAAGCCAACCCCACCCGGATCCTTGCTTCTCTCTCAATCTCTCTCTCTCTCTCTCTCTCTGTGTGTGTGTGTGTGCTCTTCGTGGGGGGTATTGTACCCCACCCTTTTCCCAAGAGCCTCCCCGTTGCAAAGCAGAGCCCTTTCCCACGCTATTGCTGTGGGGCGCACGGAGCGTTCTTCTTAGCCAAAGCAGGGGGTTGTACTAGATGACCTCCAGGGTTCCTTCCAACTCTTGTTATTCTATAAGTAAAAGCGTGTCGCGTCTCCTTTTTCTAACGGGACGGGCGCAGGGAGGGGATGTTTCAAGGGCCCTTTGGGGAGAGAGAGGGAGGGAGGGGCATAGGGGGCCCCGGGGCCCTCCGCGTTACCCGCATCTTGCTGAGGGAACTGATCCTGCGCGGCGCGCCCGTCCATCGCCATCCCGTCCCAGCGCAAGACCCGCGTGCGCGGAGCAGGCTCCGGGAAGTCCGCGAGATGCGACGCCTCCCCCGCAGCCAGGAGGCGCCAGAGGGACGGAATGGACCTCATTAAGGACACCTGGCCGGCCAGGTGTTCGGGCGGGGCGGGGGGTGAGGAAAGCCGGCTAGCGCGCAATGGGCCTTCCTCACAGCCCCCGTTTGGGAACGGGGCGCCGGCTTATGGCAGCGACGGGCAGGTCAAGGGGTGCTCTTTGCTTGCGACCACTTGGGGAAGCCGGACATAAGAGCGACCTTGCCGACTCGCCGCCCTTTTGGCAAGCTGCCTTTCGCCCCTGAGGCACGTGCGCAGGCCAGGCGCTTCTGCGCGGTGCCAGCTCTGGATCGCGCAAAGCTGAACCCCCCCCTCCAAACCCCCCCAAAAAAACCCGTTTCAGAAGTGTTTAGGTAGCGCGCTGGTTTGTGTGTGGGGGTCATTCGCGGCACTTCTGGATCGGATTTCCACCCTCGGGGCCTGCAGAGGCAGAGTTGGAAGGGATCTTGCAGGTCATCTAGTCCAACCCACCACCACCCCGCCCAAACGAGTGACTACACCAGGGGTGTCCAACCTTTCACCTTCCCTGGGCCACATTAGAAGATGAAAATTTGGTTTGGGCCGCACATAAAATAAAATAACAGTAACGATACCTGATCATCCAAAAAAAAAACATAGAAAACATAGTTAACATATTAAATTTATTTGGAAATTAAGTTAGTGAGATGTTTTTATTATTTATTATTTATTTAAAATTATTTATTTTTTATCACGGTTTTTTTATCACATTTTTTTATCATGGTTTATTTTCCGGCCAAATTTTGTGGGGGTGGGGGGAGAAAGCTCGCTCGCCTCGTGCCTACCTCTCCTCCTGCAAATGGCCCGGCGGGATGAGGCAGGACTGGAAGGCAGAAGCAGCAGCAGCAGCGGGGGAAGAAGCAGTGGTGGCGGGGGCAGGAGGGGCGGCGGTGGCGGTGGTGGCAGAAGCGGCGGTGGCGGTGGTGGCAGAAGCGGCGACGGGGCAGCGGTGGCAGGGGCAGAAGCAGCAGCGGTGGTGGGGGAAGAAGCGGCGGGGGCAGCGCAGGGGCAGAAGCGGCGGTGGTGGCAGGGGCAGAAGTGGCAACGGGGGCAGAAGCGGTGGCAGCGGCAGGGGCAGAAGCGGCAGCGACGGTGGGGGCAGAAGTGGCAGCAGGGACAGAAGTGGCGGTGGTGGCGGCAACAGCAGGAGGTGGCGCTCTGACGGCACCCACCTTTTCTGTTGCTGCTTGGCCTGGCACTCGCCTTGCCCCGCCTCGCACCTGCCTCTCCTCCTCCTCCTCACTGGCTCTGGCACGAAGGTTGGGGTGGGCACTGGGCCGCATTACGAGGCGACCTGAGCCGCATGCGGCCCACGGGCCGCGGGTTGGACAAGCCTGGACTACACCATTTCTGACAAATGGCAGTCCAATCTCTTCTTGAAGATCTCAAGTAATGTCACTCCCACAACTTCTGAAGGGAACTTCTGTTCCATGGGTGGATTATTCTATTCCAGGGGTCTTCAAACTTGGCAGCTTTAAGACTTATGGACTTCAACTCCCAGAATTCCTCCTCCAGTCAGGTTAGCTCAGGAATTTTGGGAGTTGAAGTCCGCAAGCCTTAAAACTTGCCAAATTTGAAGACCCTTATTCTATTCTGACAGAAAATTACTCCTTATTTCCAGGTTGAATCTCTTCCTTGATCAGTTTCCATCCATTATTCCTTGTCTGGCCTACAAGTGCTTTAGAAAACAGCTTGACCCCCTTCTCCTCTCTGTGGCAGCCCCTCAAATATTGGAGCACTGCTATTCTGTCTCCCCTGGTCCTTCTCTTCCCTAGACTTCTGTCAAAATTTCTCTCCCCAGACTTAATGTTTAAGTGGTTGGATCCCTGAGACAATGGAGATCCCACACAAATATTGATCGGTGGCATCCTCAGCACGAATGCGCAGACAGGATACTGCATTTCAAAACTGGAGGAAACCTAGTCAAATTCAGCAGGGTTGACTTCAGCACACCTGTTAGGCTGCCCGGGAATGTTGCATGATTTATTTTTATTTATTTTGGGAAATAAATAGGGTGACTCAAGGCGGCTTTCGCAGATATAAAAAACCCCCATATAAAATAGAAAATAACAAAAAGAAAAACAGTAAAATAACAACCTCCCACCCCGGTGACAACACGTAATGAAGATGATCCTGGCGGATCTCCAGACCATGAAGCAACTTGGGAAGTGGGACATGTAGTCCTCGACTTACAACCATTCATTTAGTGACCAAAGTTCAGAAAAGGGAGTTCTGGCCGTTTTTTTTCACACTAGTGACTGTTGCAGCATCCCCATTGCCACGTGATCAAAATCCGCTTCGCCACTGGCATGTATTTATGACGTTCGAGGGTTTGAGGGTTGTGTGATCATCTTTTACAACCTTCTAACCAGCAAAATCGATGGGGGAAGCCAAGGTTCACTTAACAACCACGTTACTTAACAAGTGTGGCAAAAGGAGTCATAAAATGGGGCAAAATTCAATTTAAAAATCTCTCCTGCATAGCAACGGAAATTACAGTGGGGGTTGTAATTGGAGGACCACGGGAGAGGCTGCAGGAAATCCCAGTTTGCTCATAGCCAGAATTTCTTAAGGGAATCTCTCTGCGTGATTGAACATTGGTGTGCTTATGCACGCCCCCTGCAGACCTCTTAGGAAAGGGGTGAGGTCAATAGTAGACAGTCTAAGGTTAAAGTTTTTGGAGTTTGGGGAAGAAACCACAGAGTCAGCTAGAGTATTCCAGACATTGACCACTCTGTTGCGGAAGTCGTATTTCCTGCAATCAAGTTTGGTGCAGTTTACCTTGAGTTTGTATCTATTGTGTGCTCTCGTGTTGTTATGGTTGAAGCTGAAGTATTCATTGACAGGTAGGACATTGCAATGTATGATTTTATATACCATACTTAGATCAGACCAAAGACGGCGTAATTCAAGGTTCTCTAGGTCTAGAATTTCGAGTCTGGTGGCATAAGGTATTCTACAGCGAGTAGAGGAGTGGATAACTCCTCTTGTAAAATATTTCTGGACTTTCTCAACTGTGCTAAGATCAGATACGTAATGCGGCTTCCAGACTGATGAGCTGTATTCGAGTATTGGTCTAGCAAATGTTTTGTATGCTCTAGTTGTTAGTGTGATATTACCGGAGAAAAAGCTACGCAGGATTAGGCTCCTGTACAGGATCTGTGGATCTCTCCAGGATCTGCTGCTCTAGGAGCTCTTCCCCCCACCCACCCCAAAAAATGCAAAGTGCTTTGGAATCGCATCCTGAAATAATTCCATGATTCCATAGTTGGGTGGGTTCTTATGAGCCTAACCCAACAATGAATTTTCTATGCTCGTTACGAGTCACACATGTTGTTTCTTGAAATTACATTTCGGTTATTGAACATATTAAAAAGCGAGTAAACTCCATGCACTTAAGCTAGAAGAGAGGTGCAAAGGCAGACGGGTTTTTAAGATGGGCAGCTATATGAATGTTTTCAATAAATACAGGGAGTCCTTGATTTATGACCACAAATGAGCCCAGAATTTCCACTGTTAAGTGAACCTTTGTTGAGTGAATGCTGTCCCATTTTAAGAGCTTTCTTGCTATTAAGTGAATCACTGCAGCTGTTCAGTTGTTAACACAGTTGCTAAGCAAATCGGGCTTCCCTATTGACTTTGCTTGTCAGAAGGTGGCAGTGTTGTGGATTGCCAGCAGCCTGTGCAGACAGCAGGGGAATTGGATGGTGGGGAAGAAAGGGGACCAGTTAGGGAATCTGGAGAGGACTCGAACGAGGGTCCTGCATCCGATGCAGAGATGGGGCCAGGGCCATCTGGGAGTTATGTGCTGACTGCAGAGCCTCCAGAATCTGACAGTAGCAAGGAAGAGGAATAAGGGGAACCTGTTCCCAGTGCGCGTGTGCGGAGAGCTGTCAGACGGCGAGAGCAGCTGAAACAAAAAGACAACTTGGGAGTAAGACTGGGAAGTGATTGCCCCTCCCATCAGGTATAAAGGATAGGCAAAGGTGAAGAAACCTTTGCAGGAAGCAAAGTCATTTGTTCAGTTCAGACTCATTCTTGAAGCTCTTTGTACTTCGGTTGGGTTTTTTTCCCTAGTTCATTGGACACTTCTGTTATTGGCAGCACTTCACAGAAAAGAAAGGTGGGTGCTTATCTCGGGGGACTGTTTGAGATTCATTACCGGCTGGAAATGAAAATAATTCCCAGCATTGCAATAAAACAAGTCTTGTTTTAAAAATAAGCATGTGCGTAATTACAGTTTAGGAAGCCTTGGTCAGAACAGTGGCAAAAGGGAATCCCATGACCCTGGGACGCTGCAACCATCGTAAGTACATGCCAGTTGCCAAGTGTCTGCATTTTGATCACGCAGCCATGGGGCCATGCAACCATTGTATGTGAAAAACAATCATCAGTTGTTGGTTTTTTCAGTGCCATTCCACTGTCAAAATAGTCGCTAAACAAATAGTGGCAAGTCTACCTGCGCATAGAATGACAAGCCTACCATGGGTACCATTTTATGAGATCACCCCCCGCCCCAACATTTCCCATCAACCTCCCAAAAGATTACTTCCACATGCAAACCAGGTTGCTGGTGATTCCAGCCTTGCGTTCCTCGTGTCAGGGATCATCTGGGCTTGGTCATATAACCTCACCGGTTATGGAAAAACCACGGTTGGCCTCTTGACTCCTATCCAACATAGGCTCCTTAACCAGCTCGATGGCTAACCGTGATGCCCGTTGTCCAATCCAGACCATCCACCTGTTCTTGTATATACTGAGAGCAACCAGAATTTTCTATGCGGAAAGATGACGCACTAATTTCCACAATGGAAGAGCGGATGGTAAAGGTGATGGAATGGGCAGAAATGGCAAAACGGACTGCTTTAATTAGAAGAACTGATCCCCTTTTGTCTCTAGAAACACAGGGCTGGAAGGGACCTTGGAGGTCTTCTAGTCCAACCCCCTGCCCTTATTTGATATGGAAACCACTTCGTTTTTGCTCAAAACTGAAAAAAAGAAAAAAGAAACGTCGATTTTAGGTTTCGATGATGGGAACGATTTTGTTCTTACAGAAACGGATCTGGAATGTAGTCAAAAAAGCAAAACGCGGAGGTTGCATTCCTTTTTTCTTGTACACTTCTGCACTGAAAAAAGTGGGATGTTACGCCTTTATTTTTTCTTTGCACCTTTCTCCTCCTTTCTTTCACTTTTCTAAGTCTTGTTTTCTTTCGCATTTTTATCTCGTAATAAAAATGATTTTTTTAAAAAATAACATTTTTTTAAAAATAGAACAGAACATAGGTGTCAAACTCGCGATGTCACGTCACGTGATGTAACGTGACTTCCCCCCCCCCCTTGCTAAACCGGGGGTGGGCATGGCCAGTGCGTGACACATTTGTCTTTGTGGGCTATGAGTTTGACACCCCTGGAATAGAACGACAGAGTGGGAAGGGACTTTGGAGGTCTTCTAGACCAACCCCCTATTATACAGGAGACCCTATACCAGGGGTCTTCAAAACTTAGCTTTAAGACTTGTGGACTTCAACTCCCAGAATTGGTCCTGTTAGCTCATGAATTCTGGGAGTTGAAGCCCACACGTCTTAAACTTGCCAAGTTTGAAAAGCCTTGCCTTATACCATTCCAGAAAAGTGGCTGTCCATGAAGCACCCACAAGTTCTAGTGGTAAGCCGTTCCACTGGTTGTTTTCACTGTTAGGAAGCTCCTTCATTCTACAGTAGGTTGCTTCTCTTCTTGTTTAATTTCCATCCATTGTTCTTTGTCCTGCCTTCTGGTCCTTGGAAAATAGCTTGACTCCCCCTTCTTTGGGGCAGCCCCTGAGATATTGGAACACTGCTATCATATCACCCCATGTCCTTCTTTTCATTAGACTAGAACGACCCAATTCCTGCAACTATTCTTCCTTTTGTTTCTAGTCTTAATCCTGTTCCTTTAATACCACCCAACGTGCAGCAATTAAGCTGAAGCTTTCCTGGTGAACACAATCAAGCGTTTCTCTTGAGAAATGTGTGTGTTTGTGTGCCTGCACACACGGGTTGGGTGACTGCAAAAGGGATCAGAGCAGAGGTGGTCTTCAGCAGGTTCTGACCAGTTCTGGAGAACCGGTAGCGGAAATTTTGAGTAGTTCGGAGAACCGGCAAACGCCACCTCTGACTGGCCCCGCCCCCATCTATTCTCTGCCTCCCATTGAGTCCCAGTTGCTCGGCTGGGTCTTCTTTGGTTGCCCTGCACAGGAGAACGGAGCTGGAAAGCAGGTTAGCAGGGTGGGGAGGGAATGGGAATTTTGCAGTAACTTCCTCTAGAAGTGGGGAGGGAATGGGGATTTTATAGTATCCTTCCCCTGCCACGCCCACCAAACCACGCCCGACACACCATGCCACACCGACCAAGCCATGCCCACAGAACCAGCAATACATTTTTTTGAATCCCACCACTGGATCAGAGCCACGGCAGAATGGCAACTTACAAACCCGGATCTCAATTTTTCCTGCCAGCAGTTGCTGTCAGGAGAAGGGATTTGACATGGACAACGCGATTTCTTTCTTGGCAGGAACCTGATTTGCACACACTAAAATGGAAAGGAAAAGCCATTTCATCCTAAGACCACATCATGTATTTTTTTTTTCCTCTACCGCATTCGGCTAGACAGTCCAAAGCACGTTCAAATGTTAATATTTTAGCCTCACATCTTTCTGTGAGATGGGCTAAAGACTTTTTTTCTTTTTTAATTGGCAGAGCGGTGTGTGCATTTAAATGTGAGAGAGTGAAGATCATCAGGGTTCTCTGGCGGTCCCTGTCCATTTCCTTGGCTCTTCCTCCTCTCCACAATCCTCTCAAGAAAAAAATCACGCAGCTCTTTTCTCCTGCCTTTTTCCAACACCTGGGGGGACAGAACCGGTACAACCGATGATGCCAACGACACCAGTTTGTGCTTTGCCCCTTCGGTCTCGCAATTCACACGGCAGTTTTTCTTTTTTCTTTTTTAACACCTTGCAATGTCCTCCGGAGTTGGAGAGGCAGGGTGGGAATCTTTTATCTCCTGCGAAAGACCTGCTGTTTGGCGTTTTTCACCCGCTGCTCTTCCTTCAGGTTCATCTGTCGGACTTGTTTGCTGGAGATGGTCTCCACGTGATCCAAAGGAAACCAGCCTCTCTCTCCGTCTGAGAGCTTCACGCCTTCACGCCAGCCTGCAGAGAGATCGAAAGCAGGTGGTTGAGAGAACGCGCATCGCGACGTTATCCTAAAAATTAAGTGCCTTGATGCGTGCGTCCCCCTGATGTAAAGGATGGCTCTCTTTACCTGGTCAATACTCCTAATACACACAGGAAGTTCATCGCCTCATTGCACACCTGCCTAGCGGAATCCCCAATAACATCACTTACATTCGTGGTGGCCAAATTTTGGGGCTCCTGTGTCAAAAATTGCCCATGCTCTAGTGTGTACGCACTCATGTGCCAGCACCCAGAATGCAATGTGCAGCCCCCCCTCCCCATGCCCTCTGTGCATGGATGCGCAATCCCTCACCACCCCCTTACATGCACTGAGCCTTACAGCTGATTTTTTGGCTGGTTTGTGGCCTTTTTCGGCCTCCGAGCGGCTTGGAAAAAGCCTCTGCAAGGCTTTTCAGGATGAATTATAGGCTCATTTCATCACTTCTGGTATTACAGGAAGTGACAAAACGGGCCTATTATTCGACCTGAAAAGCCTTGCAGAGGCTTTTTCCATGCCTCCAAGAGGCAGAAAAAGGCCTCAAACCAACCGGAAAAATAAATCAGTGTGAAGCGCGCTCATGCGCAGTGAAGTAAGTTTGCCTCTGGCTCGGGTGCCAACATAAGTGCATGCCATAGATTCGCCATCACGGACCTACATCAATGACGCAACCTTTGGGAGTCTACCTGCAGACAAGCTTCAGGTGGCCTGTTGTGACCCAGCTCTCCAAACACGACAAACCCTCTGATGTGAACTCAACAGATTCCTTTATTAGCAATGCTGGCAGCCCTGGCAAAAAGTTTCCCTTGCAGGCTAACAAGTCCGTCTGGCAGGAAGATGAATAGTTGTCTGCCACACCTATTCATTTCCTCCCCTGCCTTTTATCCCCAGAGCTAGGGTGGGACTTTGCTAGCAATGGTGGCATTTCCATCCCAAGGACCGGCCCATAGATTTCCACTGCTCTCCTTTCCTCTGCCTTCTGTGCATCTGCACATCAGGCACTGGACCCAGCTGTTCCTCCTCTTCCCTCATCAGCCTCCTCCAGACCTGGCTTTTCCGTCCCAAGGACCGGCCCATATATTTCCACTGCTCTCCTCTCCTCTGCCTTCTGTGCATCTGCACGTCAGGCGCTGGACCCAGCTGTTCCTCCTCTTCCACATCAGCCACCGCCAGACCTGGGGAATGTTGACTCCCCATGTGAGGGCTGACGGGCAGCCCAGGCTCCGCCTCTGTCTCTCTCTCTCTCTCTCTCTGCCAGCTCCATTCCCTCTTCCCCCTCGGAGCTCCCAGACTGCCCTGATGCTTACCCTGAACTCCCACCTGCCTCCGCCTCCTCTGATTTGGCCACTGGAGGGGCCGGTGGCCGACAGGCCACAACATGGCCCACTGCAGGATGAGTTCTGTTCCGCTCCTGCTGCTTTTTGTGCAGAGGAGTTTCCTGTTTCATCTGAACCCTGATGGTGAGTTTTTTTTTTCTGGGATTAAATGTTAAGTGGACATGATGGCTTGTTCCTGGTTAAGCAGCTCCACCAGTGTCTACGTGAGCTGTGTGAGCTCAAATGCAGTGGTGCTCCAGGCTCCTACTCTTTGCTGAGACTTTACAGAGAGGCACATAGAGGACCCAAGGTTAATCAGCCAGAGATTGACTCCTCTTGAGCTTCCTTAGCTGTCAGGTTGACTGCCCATCTTCTCATGCCATTCAGCTTACCCTAAGCAGATTCTATCCAGAACTGGACAATTTCTGTGGTCTTTCACTCAATATTTCCCTCAACGCTGTCCAACTACTTATTAAGTCTGCACTATTACTATTAATCTTCTCATCACTCCTATCACCCATCCCCTCCCACTTGTGACTGAGTATATGACTAACTTGTTGCTTGTATCTTTACGATTTATATGGACTGTTTCCTAGTATGATTTGATTGCTTATTGTATCCTATGACTATCATTAAGTGACGTACCTGATGCTTCTTGACGAATGTATCTTTTCTTTTATGTACACTGAGAGCATTTACACCAAGACAAATTCCTCGTGTGTCCACACTTGGCCAATAAATCAATCAAGCATTCATTCATTCATTCACTCACCATCACTGCTTGACCGCAAGACCATGACTATGTCGGCTTTCTCCAGAGTCAGTTCATCATGTTCTCGTGCCTTGTAAGATTTCACACACTGCACCTGAGGGGCATCTGGAAATGTGATGGGATATAGGGTTGGTTATTTGGGAAAAATTACACCAATTCAAAATGCTTTTTGGTTAATGCAAGCACATTATGAACTCTTTTTACATCACATAATAAAGATGTTTAGGAGTTGAAATGATTGAGGCAGAGGAAAATATGTATAATAAGTAAAAGATTTCTGGGATTTCACACCTGGGATTCGATAGTGATGGGCCGGTTTTCTGGATTCTGTTTTTCACCAGCTTCAAATCTAAAATTGTGTATCTCTGACCTTTTGTTTTAATGAGAGTTTCTCTTCAACACCAGTTCTGTCCATAGGAAAACAATGGGGCAAATTGCCACAGACAATACACTGCAGCCAATTCAACGTGGCCAAAACTCAACCTGGGACAACTTGCTGCAGGACAATTTAACAATTCTATTTCATTCTTTAATTATAATTATAACTGCTTATTTAGTATTAATTAATTATAATTACTATTTAATTGTAATATAAATTTTAAAAAATATTTTTATTTTTGCCATTGACATTTCGTTGTATCCCTCCTTTTGCATCCTTTCTTTTAAGGATTCTAATCCACTATTCCTTTGATATTAATGTCACTCTTCTCCTGAAGTGAGTTGGCCATGGTCAATTGGGCGGGACGACTTGGCTGTGCTTAGTTGGTACGTGGCAAGTTGCCTGCGGTGAATTGGCTGTAGCAAGTTGTCACAGACTCCAGGAGGTAACATCATCAGAGCTAGAAGGGTTTGCAACGAGGCAGAGGATGTCTGTGGGGCCCTTGGTCCTCTCTGAGGTTGCTTGCTTTCTTGCAGACATTTCATTACCCAAGCTAGAAGGGCATAGGGTGTGTGGAATGGAGGAGGGGGAGGGAAGGAGAGGGGGAGGGGGAGGAAGACTGGGGGGGGGGGCAAGAGTGCCCTTTGAGCTTGGTTATTATCTTTCAT